TGGTTTATCCTTGTTTGTGTCTTTAGTTTATCCTTGTTTGTGTCTTTAGTTTATCCTTGTTTGTGTCTTTAGTTTATCCTTGTTTGTGTCTTCAGTTTATCCTTGTTTGTGTCTTTAGTTTATCCTTGTTTGTGTCTTTAGTTTATCCTTGTTTGTGTCTTTAGTTTATCCTTGTTTGTGTCTTTAGTTTATCCTTGTTTGTGTCTTTAGTTTATCCTTGTTTGTGTCTTTAGTTTATCCTTGTTTGTGTCTTTAGTTTATCCTTGTTTGTGTCTTTAGTTTATCCTTGTTTGTTTCTTTAGTTTATCCATGTTTGTGTCTTTAGTTTATCCTTGTTTGTGTCTTTAGTTTATCCTTGTTTTTAGTTAGCAGCACCTGTGAAGGTAGACACAGACAAAGCTCCCCCGTGTAGCCTCTAACAGACTGTAGGGGCAAGTGCTGTGAGTAGCGAGTAGCAGCAGCACCTGTGAAGGTAGACAAAGACAAAGCTCCCCCGTGTAGCCTCTAACAGACTGTAGGGGCAAGTGCTGTGAGTAGCGAGTAGCAGCAGCACCTGTGAAGGTAGACACAGACAAAGGTCCCCCGTGTAGCCTCTAACAGGCTGTAGGGGCAAGTGCTGTTAGCGAGTAGCAGCAGCACCTGTGAAGGTAGACACAGACAAAGCTCCCCCGTGTAGCCTCTAACAGGCTGTAGGGGCAAGTGCTGTTAGCAAGCAGCACCCGTGAAGGCTACCGGCACTGTGGCACACGACGGGGTTGGGTGGCTACCAGCACCACGCCCGGCCGCCTTTGTCTCCCCCCAGTGGCGTCCGCTTGACTCGTGTCCCCGTGTCTCCGTGTCTTCGTGTGCCCGACCCCCCCACCACCCCCCCCCACCCCCACCACCCCCCCCACCACCACCACCCCCCCCCACCAGTGATGGCCGCGTTCTCTCCGAAGCTCCGGGTGAGACGCCGCTGGTGGCTGAGGAGGAGGCTGCACGCTCGGCTCTCAGACGCCTCTATGGCTTCCCGGCGACTCGCTTACCTGCACAGTCCGTAGCGTCTGGGACTCACTCACAGCCACAGTCCGTAGCGTCTGGGACTCACTCACAGCCACAGTCCGTAGCGTCTGGGACTCACTCAACGTCTGAGACTCACTCACTCACAGCCACAGTCCGTAGCGTCTGGGACTCACAGCCACAGTCCGTAGCATCTGGGACTCACTCACAGCCACAGTCTGTAGCGTCTGGGACTCACTCACAGCCACAGTCCGTAGTGTCTGGGACTCACTCACAGCCACAGTCCGTAGTGTCTGAGACTCACAGCCACAGTCCGTAGTGTCTGAGACTCACTCACAGCCACAGTCTGTAGCGTCTGGGACTCACTCAACGTCTGGGACTCACTCACAGCCACAGTCCGTAGCGTCTGGGACTCACTCACAGCCACAGTCCGTAGCGTCTGGGACTCACTCACAGCCACAGTCCGTAGCGTCTGGGACTCACAGCCACAGTCCGTAGCATCTGGGACTCACTCACAGCCACAGTCTGTAGCGTCTGGGACTCACTCACAGCCACAGTCCGTAGTGTCTGGGACTCACTCACAGCCACAGTCCGTAGTGTCTGAGACTCACAGCCACAGTCCGTAGTGTCTGAGACTCACTCACAGCCACAGTCTGTAGCGTCTGGGACTCACTCAACGTCTGGGACTCACTCACAGCCACAGTCCGTAGCGTCTGGGACTCACTCACAGCCACAGTCCGTAGCGTCTGGGACTCACTCACAGCCACAGTCCGTAGCGTCTGGGACTCACTCAACGTCTGGGACTCACTCACAGCCACAGTCCGTAGCGTCTGGGACTCACTCACAGCCACAGTCTGTAGCGTCTGGGACTCACTCAACGTCTGGGACTCACTCACAGCCACAGTCCGTAGCGTCTGGGACTCACAGCCACAGTCCGTAGCGTCTGGGACTCACTCAATGTCTGGGACTCACTCAGCTCCACAGTCCGTAGCGTCTGGGACTCACTCACAGCCACAGTCCGTAGCGTCTGGGACTCACAGCCACAGTCCGTAGCGTCTGGGACTCAACGTCTGGGACTCACAGCCACAGTCCGTAGCGTCTGGGACTCACTCAACGTCTGGGACTCACTCACAGCCACAGTCCGTAGCGTCTGGGACTCACTCAACGTCTGGGACTCACTCACTAACTCACCGCCACAGTCCGTAGCGTCTGGGACTCTGCGTCTGAGGCGCACATCCGGCTGAAGATAGCTGTCAAGCCCTTACCCAGTGCACTGCCTGGTTCTGCAGACCAACTCGGGCCTGATTGGTCACCCCGTGTGCCCCTTGTAAATGTCGACGGTCATCCCACAACGTCCCATCGCACGGGTAGAAACTCACACGAGTACACTCACCACTAGTACACTCACTAGTACACTCACCACTAGTACACTCACCACTACACTCACTACTAGTACACTCACCGCTACACTCACCACTAGTACACTCACCACTACTACACTCACCACTACTACACTCACCACTACACTCACCACTAGTACACTCACCACTAGTACACTCACTACTAGTACACTCACCACTACTACACTCACCACTACACTCACCACTAGTACACTCACCACTAGTACACTCACCACTAGTACACTCACCACTACTACACTCACCACTACACACACCACTAGCACACTCACCACTACTACACTCACCATTACACTCAGCACTAGTACACTCACCACTAGTACACTCACCACTACACTCACCACTAGTACACTCACCACTACTACACTCACCACTAGCACACTCACCACTAGTATACTCACCACTACTACACTCACTACTAGTACACTCACCACTAGCACACTCACCACTAGTACACTCACCACTACTACACTCACTACTAGTACACTCACCACTACACTCACCACTACACTCACCACTACTACACTCACCACTACACTCACTACTAGTACACTCACCACTACACTCACCACTACTACACTCACCACTACACTCACTACTAATACACTCACCACTAGTACACTCACTACTTGTACACTCACCACTAGTACACTCACTACTAGTACACTCATCACTACTACACTCACCACTACTACACTCACCACTACACACGCCACTAGTACACTCATCACTACTACACTCACCACTACACTCACCACTACACTCACCACTAGTACACTCACTCACCACTAGTACACTCACCACTACTACACTCACCACTACACTCACCACTAGTACACTCACCACTAGTACACTCACCACTATTACACTCACCACTACACTCACTACTAGTACACTCACCACTACTACACTCACCACTACACTCACCACTAGTACACTCACCACTAGTACACTCACCACTAGTACACTCACCACTAGTACACTCACTACTAGTACACTCACCACTACTACACTCACCACTACACTCACCACTACACTCACCACCACTACACTCACCACTAGTACACTCATCACTACTACACTCACCACTACACTCACCACTAGTACACTCATCACTACTACACTCACCACTACACTCACCACTACTACACTCACCACTAGTACACTCACCACTAGTACACTCACCACTACACTCACCACTAGTACACTCACCACTACTACACTCACCACCACTCACCACTAGTACACTCACCACTAGTACACTCACCACTAGTACTCACCACTACTACACTCACCACTACTACACTCACCACCACTCACCACTAGTACACTCACCACTAGTACACTCACCACTAGTACACTCACCACTAGTACACTCACCACTAGTACACTCACTACTAGTATACTCACCACTACTACACTCACCACTACTACACTCACCACTACACTCACCACTACTACACTCACCACTACACTCAGCACCACTACACTCACCACTACACTCACCACTAGTACACTCATCACTACTACACTCACCACTACTACACTCACCACTAGTACACTCACCACTACTACACTCACCACTACACTCACCACTACACTCACCACCACTACACTCACCACTACACTCACCACTAGTACACTCATCACTACTACACTCACCACTACACTCACCACTAGTACACTCACCACTAGTACACTCACTACTAGTACACTCACCACTACTACACTCACCACTACACTCACCACTAGTACACTCACCACTAGTACACTCACCACTAGTACACTACTACACTCACCACTACACACACCACTAGCACACTCACCACTACTACACTCACCACTACACTCACCACTACTACACTCACCACCACTACACTCACCACTACTACACTCACCACTACTACACTCATCACTACTACACTCACCACTACATAGCTGCCCTGCCTTACTGCAGACCAATTCAGACTATTGGCCACCCTATGGGGTAAGCCGTACGGGTTGGCAGCTGTGATCGTGTAGTATTTTGAGTAGTCTATGGTAGTGTATGGTAGTGTGTACTGGTGTATAGTGCATATTTGTCAAGCTCCTCTTAGTTGCCCCTACATCATTACAGACCAATTCATGCCACTCTCAACGTTCACCCTGCAAAGTCCCGTCAACCAAGGGTAGAAACAAGAGCACTTAAGACACCACACGATCATCATCATCATTATTATTCCTGCATTCTTTCGGTAAAGTCACCACGTAGAAGGGCAAACAATGAAATGATAAAAATATAAAACGATTAAATTCTCACGACGTTTCGATCGCAACACAAGCAATCATCATCATCATCATCATCGGGGTGTGAAAAACCACGGCAAGAAAAGTTGCTCGCTCACGTCGTGAGAATTTTATTGTTACGTTTTGTATTTTTATTATTTTATTGTTTCCCTTCCAACGTGGTGGTGGTGGTGGTGGTGACTTTCCCGAAAGAACCAAGAATATGAATCCCTGCAGTCACGAAAGCTTTAAATCGTTATCATGTTTATTATTTCGTACGCTGTATGGCCTTGAGAACTCAGTGTCCCCCTCCGCCCTCCCCTCCGCACAGTCTGGATGATGATGACGACGACGATGATGATGTAAAAGTGGCATCACAGCTCACGTTGGCTTCCCATTATCGGAAGGGGAGAGAGCGTTCCAGACGGCCGCGGAAAGCAGCTCCAGTCTGAAATGATTCCCTCTTGCTTGCGTGACAAATCCCATGCTTAATTGGCTGTAAATTTATTTTATTTAAAGCTTTCGTGACTGCAGCAATTCATATTCTTAGCTCTTTGGGTAAAGTCACGTTGAAGGGAAACAATAAAATAATAAAAAATATATAAAACAATAAAAATTCTCACGACGCATTAATTAATTAATGCAAACCGACACACCTGATGACGACCGTTTGTGTTATGGTCGAAACGTCGTGAGAATTTTTATTGTTTTATATATATTTTATTATTTTGTTGTTTCCCTTCAACGTGACTTTACCGAAAGAGCTAAGGATATTAATTGGCTGTGTCGTGAACGGTGGAGGGCCGCGGCACGTTTATACGTCCACGATCTAACCCAGAGTCGTCCTTGATTGTGAGTAATATTGGCCGCTAAAACGTGCGCGTGAAGCCGTCCCAATGAAGCCTGCCGGATTTTTGTAGCCCCCCACACCACCCACCCCCCCCCCCCCCCTTTAAATAAACTCGACTGCTGAAAGCTGTACGCTGCGTGTGGATTCTGTGTGCGCACAGTCAGGCCTTGGCTTACGAGTGCCCGCACTTACTAACACCACACTTACTAACACCACACTAACACCACACTTACTAACACCACACTTACTAACACCACACTAACACCACACTTACTAACACCACACTTACTAACACCACACTAACATCACACTTACTAACACCACACTTACTAACACCCACACTTACTAACACCACACTAACATCACACTTACTAACACCACACTTACTAACACCACACTTACTAACACCACACTAACATCACACTTACTAACACCGCACTTACTAACACCCACACTTACTAACACCACACTAACATCACACTTACTAACACCACACTTACTAACACCACACTTACTAACACCACACTTACTAACACCACACTTACTAACACCACACTTACTAACACCACACTTACTAACACCCACACTTACTAACACCCACACTTACTAACACCACACTAACACCACACTTACTAACACCACACTTACTAACACCACACTTACTAACACCACACTTACTAACACCCACACTTACTAACACCACACTTACTAACACTACACTTACTAACACCACACTTACTAACACCACACTTACTAACACCACACTTACAAACACCACACTTACGAACACCACACTAACACCACACTTACTAACACCACACTTACTAACACCACACTTACTAACATCACACTTACTAACACCACACTTACTAACACCACACTTACTAACACCACACTTACGAACACCACACTTACTAACACCACACTTACTAACACCCACACTTACTAACACCACACTTACTAACACCACACTTACTAACACCACACTTACTAACACCCACACTTACTAACACCACACTAACACCACACTTACTAACACCCACACTTACTAACACCACACTTACTAACACCACACTTACTAACACCACACTTACCAACACCACACTTACTAACACCACACTTACTAACACTACGCTTACTAACACCACACTTACTAACACCACACTTACTAACACCACACTTACTAACACCACACTTACTAACACCACACTTACTAACACCACACTTACTAACACCACACTAACACCACACTTACTAACACCACACTTACTAACACCACACTTACTAACACCACACTTACTAACACCACACTAACACCACACTTACTAACACCACACTAACACCACCCTTACGAACACTTACTAACACCACACTTACTAACACCACACTAACACCACACTTACTAACACCACACTTACTAACACCACACTTACTAACACCGTACTTACTAACACCACACTTACTAACACCACACTTACGAACACCACACTTACTAATACCCACACTTACTAACACCACACTTACTAACACCCACACTTACTAACACCACACTTACTAACACCCACACTTACTAACACCACACTTACTAACACCGCAGTTACTAACACCACACTTACTAACACCACACTTACTAACACCACACTTACTAACACTACACTTACACCACACTTACTAACACCACACTTACTAACACCACACTTACTAACACCACACTTACTAACACCACACTTACTAACACCACACTTACTAACACCACACTTACTAACACCACACTTACTAACACCACACTTACTAACACCACACTTACTAACACCCACACTTACTAACACCACACTTACTAACACTACACTTACTAACACCACACTTACTAACACCACACTTACTAACACCACACTTACAAACACCACACTTACGAACACCACACTAACACCACACTTACTAACACCACACTTACTAACACCACACTTA